ACTGTAACTCAAACTCTTGACTTCTTGGTGACCTTACCACATTGCCCATGAGTCATTTAGCCATTAATTGTGGTTCACTGGAGGGCAACCAACCAAGATGACAATCTAAGTGAAATCACGTTGATGAAGAGCAGTTGAAAGAGCCAGAAACATTGAACTTGGAAAGAGGAAGATAAAGTTAAGGGGGAGAAGGAAGACTAAGTGCTGCCTTCAGATGTTGCAAAGACTCTTACGTGTGGAAAATGAAGTCAGAATAGTCACAGTTGCTCAAAAAATTCTTCTCTGTCTTCCAAGGTTGTGGTTCCTTTCCCTGAGAAAGGGGAGCCAGAGACAACAAACTCAAAGAAATGGCTTCTTCGCCCTCTGTCTCTGATACCCAAAAGTTATGAGCACACAGTAGGCATTCGTGTACCATCTGACAACTTAAAGGAGCATCAGTGCCCTCTGAGCAGCTTCACTTTGAAGTTGAGATTGGACTCTTTCCTACCACTTTCAGTAAAGAACATTTGATTTGATCTCCAATCTCTGTTTTTTTAAAATTGAGCAATAGCGGACATACAATATTCTATTAGTTTCAGGTATATGACATAGCGATTTGATATTTTTGTGCCTTTAATAACGTCTTCCAAGAGGAAGATGAAGTTTTCCAACTAGGTTCGTTTCTCCTTTGGCCTCTTCCTCAGCATCTTCGCATATTTACCACAATTCAGCAAAGGCTTTGTTATGACATCCAGATGAAGCCACCTGGGTTTCGAGATATAATTTGAAACTTGGCTGCTTCAAGCCTGCAGAGAGGAAGAAATAAAGTCAACTATAAGAACACGAAGCTTAGAAATGAAAAATGTTCAGACTTTATACTTACATTCAGATAGGGGAGTGCATGTTTTCCGAGAATAAAAACCTGCTGTCTCGAAGATTTTAGAGTCTTTCAGGAGTCATCTGTACTCTTCTCAAATGCAATGGCTGCCAAAGAAAATACACAATGTAAGCATCTCTCTTCATTTGGCATGGAGAATGTGTTATAACCAGCATTTAAGAGTTCAGGTACTAGAAGCAGATAACCTTGGTTCAAATCCCAGCTTTGCTACTTACTACCTATGTGATCTTGAGCTAGTCACTTAACCTCTCTGTGCTTTATATGTTCCATCTGTAAAATGAGGATCATGTTAGTATCTACCTTATAAGATTGTTGAGACAATAAAATGAGTTAATACATTGACACAGCCATGAAGTGGTGCCTAGTACATACTTAATGCCCAACGAATGTTTGTAATTATTATCGCTGTTTTTTAAAATGGTAGGAAAAACACATGACCTGAGTAGATGGCAATTTTTATAAAAAGTAGTGCTCGACTAGCATAAATGAGATATTTATCCCATTTCTATTGAGAAGCAGCCCGAAACAGTCAATGTCAGGACTCTGGCCTTGTTCTATATACACAGTAAAAAAAAAAAAAAAAATGTTTGAGTAAGTGTAGTTTATACTAGTTAAATGCTAAGGAGAATATTTATTATAACTTGAAGTTTATAACTTCCTTTATCCCCTGCTTTGAAGGTTGCTTGTGAAGTCTGATAGTAATCCACCGGACAATTTTCTTCATAAACGTATATATTTTTGGAGAGGGTAATAAATTTTGTTTTCTACATCTATTTTTGTTATAGATCTTTCCATGGTTACCAACTGACTTAGCCCATTAGCACACAATTTATAAACCTTAAATTACGGAAGTATTCACAACTGACATTTTTGCTAGATTAGTTTTGCTAGAGCAAAAAAGTCAGGATTTATGATTAGAATAAAAATAACTAGCATTTTTGAGCACTTATTGTGTCAGGCCCTGATCTGCATTCTTTACATATATTATATCATTTGATCTTCCCAGAATCTTTTGAGGCAGCTGTCTGTATTAGAGTAATTGATGTCAACTAACTGTGATGAATAAACCCCAAACTCAGTGGGGGAACACAACACAGGTTTATGTGTTATTCAATAATGTCTGATGCAGATCAGGCAGCTCTTCTGGGCAGAAATCAGCTAAGGGATGCATTAGGTTGTGGGGAGTCAGCACCTCTGAGTCTTTTGCTTCCTGCCGCATGGACAGGGGAGAGAGAAAGACTGCGCAGTGGATACACCAGTCCCTCACCACCTCAGCCCAGTATTAACCCTACATTGCTTCTGCTCACATTCCATTGACCAGAAAAGTCAGTCACATGGTCAACCAACTGCAAGGGAGGCTGAGAAATGAGGGGAAATATGTAAACATCAGTAAACACTAAAAAGTATCTGCATAGTTTACCCTTCTGGCCACCAAATATCTATCCCCATCCCTCTTTCTAACACAGATCACACTTACCCCTCCCCAAAGGAAACAATGTCAGAGTCCCTGTGGTCCCTGCAACCAGCTCAAAGTCTGGGACTTTGAGTATGTGACGTTCTCGCTGCCAGTCAGGATGTGGCAGGCAGCTCTTGATCCAGTGACCTAGGAACTAAAAGGAAAGTGATCTATGAACCAAAAGGACAAGTCCTTTCCTTTATCTCTCTCTCTCTCTCTCTCTCTCTCTCTCTCTCTCTCTCTCTCTCTCTCTCTCTCTCTCT